TCTCACCTGAATTATTTATAAGTGAATATTCTTGATGCAACCGTCTTAAATAAATTATAGTGTCAGGGTTAGTTGACCGAACGACCGGCGGCTCAATTATCTCACTGAATAAAAAAAATATGTATATATAAATATATATATCAAAATAATTTAAAATTACTAACACTTACGCATTTTGCAAAATTCGTTCGTTAGGTGAGATGTCGTCTTCGAGAATTATACGACACATAATTATTTAGTTAATATAAAAAAATTAAAATAAAAGTAATCAAAAGGAATAAATATCACAAATGAAGGGTACAACGTTAAAAACACGACTGGGTTTCTAGGTCACCAGTGGTGGCGTGAACATTTTTCATTCATGAGACAAAAACGTTTTTAGCTACCACCCACCCTCAAAAGAGTTTACGAATTACGAGTGTCGAGTACATTTATAATAATAGGTACACACTACACACCATAGAAAAGTAATAAACATGACCCGGGTCTCATAAAACCCTTGTCACGCCGCCACTGTTCTAAGATATTACATGAATACAAAACGAAGGGTATAGTCACAACCCTTGTTGAAGAATGTCATTGTTAACAATAACTAGGGTATGTCGGGACACACACGTGGTTGCCTGTATAAAATATACAAAGGGGTGTACATGTATAGTCTCCTTGTTGAAGCATAAGTCTTTGATACATAAAGTTATTACATCGAGATGTGTACAATAATATTCATACAGCTATATACAATCATACTGAAAGTAAACCGGCTCTGTAGCTTAGTTGGTTAAAGCGCCAGAATGTAAGACGGAGATCGAGAGTTCGAATCTCTCCGGGGCCTTTTTTCAATATTTATTTTTTGAAAAATTTAGATAATATATACAAAACAGTCGTTCGATGCATACATAATATATGCGCATGCTCGGAAATATGTGATCAGTGACGGGGATAATAATAATAATAATAATAATACTAGTAGGAATAAGAGACTATGTTGTACGCATGCGCTATACGATTACGATCAAGGACGGGGCGGGGTAAAATATACGTCGTGCACGTGCGAGATCGGGCGGCGGTGATAGCAAGGATGAGCAATTGGCGTCAGGTTTGTGTGGTGAGGTGGGGTGGTGTAAAATATACGTCACGATCGTAAGCGGTGGGTGGGGAGGGGTTAAATGTACGTCGCGTACGTGCGCGATCGGGCGGCGGCGATGACGAGCAAGGATAATGGGATAATGGGATCATGGGATAATGGGATCAGCGGTCTGAACTCTCTATTTTATACTACTCCTAAGTATATAAAATTATTGCTATATTGATTTCATTTTAAGTGTAGCATTTCATAATAATATATTGAAATTTGGTTTAAAGTATGTTACTATAATCAGGGGCGGATTGGCCTATCGGGAAATCGGGAATCTTCCCGATGGGCCGGTTCTTGTGAGGGCCTGCAGGGCCGCTATAATTATTACAATATAATTACAAAAAAAATTAATTTTTTATAAATTAAGCATAAAATATATTAAAAATCAAATACCTACGAAGGTATTATTTTCAATATCTTAAACTATTGCAATTCATAGTAGGAATTTTGGTATTTACACTATTATCCCTCCAATTCATGCTAATGTATTATTTAAAAATCTGTGGTATTGGTATTTTAGTATTTATATTTTATACTCTATGGTAGAATTTAGTTACGTGATAACATTAATAACCTTATCTTATCATTATTTGTATTTTTTTTTTATTTTGAACTTTTTACACAAACGAGTTACTGTACTTATAGAATTGTGTTTAGTATACAAATTCAATTGAACTTTGCGATTTAAATTATGTGTGATGCTGGTGAAAAACGAAAGAAGGGTGGAGCTGAAAAGGTACGAGAAAAAAAGAAAAAACGGTTAATGGAACCTATTTACCTTTAAAATTGTTTTAAATTTTTAATCCTTATAGGCTATACATGCTATACATGTTGAACATTTTATAAATTTTTAACAACAAAATAATTATTAAATTTTGATAAATCTTGTCAAAATTTGAGCTTTAATTGCTTATAAAAAAAATGTATGGCTATGTATATTTAATATTTTTCAACTGATATTGTAACAATATATCAGGAGCCTTGTATTCAATTTTCAGGCTTTTTGGCCCAACAAATACAATTTTATTGGTATTTATAGAAAAAAAAACTAAAAAAATTAAAATTTGAAATGGCCCGTTAAAACATCAAAAAGAGATAATTATTTTCAAAATTGTATGTTGTATACAAAATGCTAATATAAATATTCAGTGAAATTTTCAAGTATCTACATTTTACAGTCATTCGTTTTTTAATCACAACAAAATAAGAAAATCATTACATGAAAAATCGAGTGAATATTAAATGTTGTAAAAATTTGAATTTCAGAAGGTCATAAAAATATAATTTGACTTTCTTGTTGACATTTTTTTTTTGATAAAGGTAGACAAACTTATGAGGAATTTTGTATTAAAAATGTGTTTTAAAATTTGTTTTAAAATTTATAACTCAAAATAATTTGCAAACTTTCGTCATTTTTACGTATTTTGTCAATATTTGAACTTTAAATGCTTATAGAAAAAAATTGTGACTGGATTTTTAATTTTTTTCATCTGCCTTTGAAACAATATACTAGGAGCTTTTTATTACATTTTCAAGCTTTTTAACCAACAAATAAAATTTTATTGATATTTGTAGAAAAAAAAAGTGAAAATGTCCTTAAACAGCTCAAAGTAAGTCAAAATGTTATGGTGTATAGAAAATACTAATATAAACATTCGGTCAAAATTTCGTGTACCTATATAATTATATTTATTTTGGAGTTGCTTCAAAAACCAAAATCGATTTTCTCGAAAACAGATTTTGCGTAAAAATTCCCCGATTTACTTAATTTTTCTTTTGTTTTTCTCGGCACTTTTGAAAACCACCAGGACATTTTTATATTTGATCCCCCAAAGTACCAACTAGATTAACTTTCCTATCAGAAAAGTGAATCTAGTTAAAGAAAATCTAAGTATTTACTATTTTTACTGTCCTAAAATTTGATGACAGACGCAAAAATAAAAAAGTAAATTAAAATTAAAAAATTAAACAAAAACAAATCATTGTAAAATCAAACATTCATCACTTCGCTCAGAATCTAAAATGTAATAAGATCAAACTTCAAGTTCGAGTTAGAACAGTCTGAACAGGTTAACCTTATCTGACTAACCCTAAACTGTTATAACTTTAATTATGGGTACCTATTATATATTTTACTAATTTATGGGTGAAACTAAACAAATTTTGAAATGTGAGTAAAATGATGACAATTTGTTTTTTGGTGGGGGGTTACCTTTGCGGTGCAGGGCCGGTTTGATCCATATTTCCCGGGCCGAAAAAATTTGCCAATCCGCCCCTGACTATAATATACCATCACCAATACAATACTACGTACCTAATAATATTATAGCGTTTTGAGTCTAATGTCATAGTATTTATTAATATTATTTTTTGTTTTTTAACATTTATTAAAATATATTCAATCTGTAACGGTTACAATAAGCATATGAGAGTGAACAAAACAAAAATAAATACCTATACAGGACTTGAAGTCATAAGTGTAGTAGCCTCCTGCTACTTAGCAGTAACACTAAAATAGTATTTATTAAAATTAAAAAATAAGTCGCATATTTTTCTTGCATTCTCATTTATTAATATTGCAAAATTTAACACATGCAATGATTAATATTTTAATAGTTGTACACATTTATCATTCATTGAGATTAAGTTATACTAGAGTTTGAACACCTGTCACCTATATATGATATTTAAATGCCCTAAACTTAGTTTTATATAATTTGTATAAGCACTAAAAGTTATATAATAATAATATGCTATTGTTAAAGGACATGCCTAATGGCCAATAATACATTTTGTGTTCATAAAATTCTGATTTTACTGATTGCAATAATTTTCTTATAATTACCTATAAATTATATTTCTGTAATGTGTAATTTCCAAGTCACCCAAGAGGTATACACATAACTCGTTTCTTATTTTTTCATTTATTTTTAACCCTGTACATGTGCTCAATCTCATTACAATCTACACACTGCAGGGTTAAAAGCGGTGAAAAGTTCCGCAATAGGCCTACAAAAACACCGCAGTTCATTATTTACATTACAATATTCGCTTTTTAAGTACTTATACGATTATGGGACATTGGTGGACTGCATAGATAATAATTAAATCAGAAATTGTTTGAAATTATACTATAAGGAGTATACTTCAATAATATAGGAGTGTTATCATATAAAAAAATTTATTGATTAAGAAAAAAAATTGTTTAAGCTATTTATTTCAGATTGTTATTGGTTAAAGTAAATTTTCATTTGCCAGACTACATCTGTTAACAATGTTTATTATTTTCCTTTATAAGTAATGCTTATTTTTAAAAATGTATAGATATTCAACAATGAAAAAATTAAATCGGAAATGTTCTAAAATCTAAATAGTTTTTAATGAATATTATGTTTCTAATGGAGGTTTAATTAAAATGGATAAATTAGACAACATCTATTAGGTACTTAATTAATATTAATATGTTATGTTACACTTTTAAACATGGGGATATATGACTTTTGTACATAAATGAGCCCATAGTTGAAATCATATGATAACACTACTACACAAAGTATAAAGCTATGTAAGTAAATATCTCAACCATAATACAAAATTGCATTATTAACACTATATCCAATCACCTCTAAATACCAAAAACATATTATTTAGGTGTGATGAGAAATTCATGTTATGCAATCAAAATAACATCATGAATAACTCAATTTATGTATAGAAAAACATTTCTATTATTAATTTAATTATTCCAACAATTTGGCAAAGATATGTCATTGCATCTCCACGAAATGGGATTTCTTTTGAAACTGATTCTTGGATATGAATGGTGCATTTAAAAAGAAATTTCTTAAAATTTAACTTATCAAAGTCATAAGTCATTGGGTAATGTGGAATTTTTATGCATATACTCCATTATTTTATCCTTAATGTGTATTCGATATTCCTCCAAGTTACCGTTTATTGGAATTGTATAAGAAGAATTGTCCCCTAAAATAATTGCTTCTCCAAACATGCATGCATAAGCTCCACAATCGTAACCATTTGTTTGCCGATAAACACCTGGTGCATAATAGCTATATCGATTTTCATCAAATTCTTGGTCATTGAAGTTGGCATATAACTTGAATATTTTCATAACAAAACTTAAGTCTTTCCGTTTTACTAAACCCAAACTATCTAGATATAATACAGTATACAGTTTGGTCAGAACAACAATTACATAACAATGACTATTCTTACAAACTGGAAAGAAAACAACATCATTATCTGGCACTTTCCGACACAGAAATTCTCTTAGCCCAGTTTTCAACATTTGTAATTCATTTTCATCATTGTGACTAACGATTATGTCTTCACAAGTGTACATTGTCACTTCAGTTCCTATTCTTTCATGGCAAAGTATAGACAAGTAAGCACATATGGTAGAACCATACCGATACAAGTTTGTATTCCTACTCATTAGTTATTAGGTACTTATTACTTATTATTTATAGTTATTAGTTATATTATATTTTTCAGAATTTCAGATAATAAACAAAATAGTCATATTATATCAAAAAGATTGTTTAGCTGTGTGTTAGCAAAAGTAGGTATTAAAAGACAGCACAACACTAAGAACAAGTTTGCTCATATTTAATGTATGTCAATAGGTTTTTTGTGTTCATGACACTGGTGTGTTTATAATTTTGATATACTTTCTAGTTTTTTTATAGTAGATAAAACTATTATAGTAAATTTCATAAAATTTGGATTATACGGCAATACGACGCGAGTCGCGAACTCAATAATTGTTCTTAATTATAATTCATGATATGTATACAATAACAAATTTTAGATTTTAAATCACACCATTGTCTTAAGCACATAAATATACTAGGGATCATTGAAAAATATTCTTTTAATAGGTACTAATAATACTATCGTATGTTATTAAAATCATAGTGTAAATAAAACTACTTTTACACGAAAAACATGGGCCGCTGTCGTCCTATTCGTCAACTCTCATTATCTCGTTGAATAATAATTATAATTATTAAAAAAAATTATCTTTCCTATGTATTTACATGTATTTCAAACATGATCCGTTTACCTATTTTAAACAATTAAAATAAAATATAAAAATACTTTAAAAATCTCAAATTCAAATATGTTGAAGCCTATAAGTTTATAAATCAATATTAAGGATTGCCTTAAGTTTCGGAGATATAATATATTTGCCATTTGGTAAGATTTTCCCTTAGATGACCGGCGTTCACCCACTCTCCACTACTACTGCCGCTGATCATATTTAATCATAATAATAATATTACTTATTATTTAAACATCTTATGTATGGTAATTCATTGATATACATACTGTATAATATTGACTAGTGTGTATAGTTTATTATATTATAAATATTCATATTATATACGAGGTATGTAAAATCGATTATTATTTATTGAAAAGCTTACTTCTAGAAATGGTGACTGAGCGGGTTGTTTCCCTCTTCCAACATCCCGCCATCTATATTGGTCACTTTTCCAATCCAAAGGATTTTTCTCGTTTTTATATAGAATAATATCTCCAGGATTTGGTTTAACAGGTGGCATATCACACCATTTATTTGCCTCAGTACAATTCAAAATAATTCTGTACTCATCAATTGTTAAGGGATAGGTAGAAGTATACCGTATTTGAAAACATAATTGCTAAAATAAAAATGAACTGACGTTTGTCGCAAAGGTTTATTAAAATTTATTTTCCGTAGGTAAGAAGGAACTTAAAAAAAAAATTATAATATTAAAAATTAATGAAAAAAGAAGAATGATCACTAAATTGATAAATACTTTAAATTTAAAACTATAATGCTATAAAGTTATTAAAAACTGTAAGATAACTATGGAAAAATCTTATAAAAAGATTACGAAAGACGTAATATAGCTCACGAAAGACGTAATATAGCTCCGTACAGTTGTAGGTAAAGCCGAAATAACGTCCTGACTTCTGGAGTTGAGACGTTTAACGTGCGAACACTGCGAACGGTACCTACTAGAGATGGGTCGGTCGCGAACGAACGAATCAAAATGACCGAATCAGTCTAGTGATCGAATATAATGTCTAAATGATTCGGTTTCGGTCATATGGTTTTTAGATTATTCGGTATTCAGTTCGGTTTGAGTGATTTGACTGATGATGTCACAGAACAATAATGGCCCAACGAATCAAATCGGTTTACGGTCAAAAGACCGAATCACCGAATGACGTAAATTCTCAACTCTGATTTCAAGCGTAAAGCGCTGGTAGTAGCAGTAGACAGTAGGTACTACAGTAGTAATATTAGTGATAACACTACCTACACAATAACGTTTGCTCAGTCTGCATTACGCCAGTCGGGCCGTCAGAGTCGTAAATAATATTATTGTCTTCATTATTAAAATTATAAATAGATATGCACTAAGCAGGCTGTTATTTATGGATTGTTGATTAGGTACCTACCAAATATACTGCTGTATATTATAATTATAATATATTATTATATTAACACAGGGCAACAATAATGCGAACCCGGACGTTTCGCCGCGAAGGGTTAACCTCCCCATGAAATATCAATAATACTAATGATGTACGATGTACCTACCTATCATTTAATATAGGTATAGCAATAGGTATTAGGTACAAAGATTATACAATTTTTGCAAACCTCACCACCCGAATATTTCATGCGTTTATCCCCGATTATCACATTTATGATTTTGAAACATAAATTTCGATATGTTTCTCAATTCAAATCAGATATATTTTATCACCCCTCCTACTGGAATTCGCAGCTTTAATTTCCGTTTGTGCATAAATGCGCAGCCCATAGGCATGCTCACGGGGGTGGAGCCATTCGCTTTCAGTTCTTGCACTCTGGTGGGCCGAGGGCAAATGCTTTTATTTTAGAATCCATAGTAAATATAGTGTAACAAAGTCCCACAAAACAATACTTTTTAGAAAGAAAAAATAACAACATATTATTTTCTAGGCTTAATGACAAGAATTATGAAATTATTATCTAGATATATTATTTTTAATAAACATGCAAATGATAAATGTACCTACAATTAATACAATATCCTGACTGTTTAATGTAATTATTAGTTCGTAATATTTAGCCTATATTGCTTTGTTTGGCACTACAGATATTTGATAACCTCCTATGTACTTCCCGCGGGCCACGTTCAAATCCAAAATTGAACTTTATTCATATTTGTTACATAATACATACCATGTAAGAAAAGGCACTATTAACTATTTAAATAACTAAGACTAAAAAAAAGGTTTGTTTCAAAATAAAAATTATACAATATTTTTAGAAAATTATTTTATCGAGAATTGAGTAAACCCATGCACTTAATAAAATTACCTATATGCTACAAAGTCAAATTAGAGGATTCAGCCGTATTAAATATTAACATATTAGAACAAATTAGGTCAGGATTGGTAGGTACTTGAACGTCAAGTGCTAACTTATCTTGTGAAGTTGTTTTACAAACAAACTTGCTTATAGATTGAATTGCTAAGCTGTGTGTGTTTGATGATTTTGTGAAGTTGAAGAAGTTGGGGAATTAGTATTATCAATGTTTTCATTTATGATACCATGACTTTCAGTTTCATCAAATTCAGATTCCAGTGGATGCAGTTGTTTTTGTGGACAGTTCGAAATATGGTTTTTTAGTCTTGATGTTAAACCTGCAATTACTTTATGACAATGTTTGCATTCAGCTTTTGGATAAGCCCCTCCTTTAATTTCTTTGAAATCAATCCAGATTGTATCTCTAGGCCGACCTTTTGATGTCATTTTTCTTTAGTACAAAACTTATTACATTTAAATATAAACTATAAGTTAATTTACATTCATATACAGATTTACTAATATAATATAACAGAATAAAATAATTAATTTAATGATAATAAAAGTGACAACTGTCAATCATGTGCTTTAGTTATTACTTATTTATTTGTTATCATTTATAATTTATCAGTTTGCCAATTTAATAAGAGAATCTCATTCTTCAACATTAAAACAGTGTTACCAAAATTTGTTGTTGTTAATAGTATTTTATTTAGTTACAAAAGTTGTTTATTGTATTACATGCCACATGATTATAATGTACATGTTGTTTTAAATTGTTTAAAAACATATTATAAAACATGTTTTTATATCAAGAAAAAAAACACAATATGTTTTAAAACAAAATTGTTTTACAACAATTAAAAACCATAAAAACATGTTTTTTGTTAAATATTATAAAAAACCGTTTTTTACCCAACCCTGTTAATGACTATTCGAGTGAATAATATATAATAATATAAATCCCTCATAATTTTAGACGTTTGATCTACAACAAGTACCTATAATTATAACCAGGCAACCAAAATTTGGTACACTTGTTATTATCATAGATAGATAATTACCTGCCAAAATAATGATTATAAACTTCAATTGATATTTTTAGAAGCAAATTCGATCTAGTTAGTAATTTTGGTAGGTCGAAATTAAAAATCCTCAGTACCTACTTTTAAAATAATTGGGAAAAAAAAGAAAATGTGTCAAAATTGTTTGGTAACCTTGGTTAGACTGTCTTCACTTCAATTGTATTTGATTAGTGTTGAAAGTGAAGCTTGACGGACTAATGATGTTAGCATAAATATAATAAGTAATAACACGACAATATGATTATGTATAAGTATAATATATAACAACGTACAACTGGACAATTAAACTGTGACAGTACACACACATCGTATACGATCTGTACAACGACGCCTGTGCAAGTGAATATTACATACATCAAAGGCCCTATATATATGCACGACCGAGGTCATGTTACATCCGTGAAGAGAGTGAGTCTTATGCTCGTACATAACTAGTTACTATATTGTACACACGTGTCAAGGCTGACTACATGTACTACATATTAATTGTATATTTCAACACCCTCCCTCAATTAATAATCTCTTTAATTGTAGTCACTCCTATGGCTGACCGCAACTTCTCGAATCGTTCCTTAACCAAATGCTTGGTTAGAATGTCCGCAATCTGATCCTCTGTTCCAATGTACTGTAGATGGAATTGTCCCTCTTCGTATTTCTCCCGTATGAAATGGTACTGTACGTCTATGCGTTTTGTCCGTTTATGAAACTCCGGATTTTTAACTAAACGAATAGCACTCTGATTATCTATAAATAATACAGGTTGTTTGTCACCTGTTGTCGATAAGCTTGTTATCAACCGTGTAATCCACAAGATCCCTTTGACAGCTTCACTGGCCGAAATATATTCAGCCTCTGTCGATGACAGTGACACACAATGTTGTCTCTGCGATGTCCATGCAATTATGCTTGACCCGTACCTGAATAGAAATCCTGACGTTGAACGTCGTGTCTGAATGTCACCTGCGTAATCTGCATCGCTAAATATTTCTAATGACAATTTTGTTTTGTTATTAAAGTACAAGCCATAATTAAATGTTCGCTTGATATATCATATAATCCGTTTTACCAAGTTCCAATGAGCTTTAGTTGGTTTTGCTAAGTAACGACTAGCAAAGTTTACTGCATATGCTATATCTGGTCTTGTTACCTGTGATAAGAACAGTAAGCTATTACAATAGTAGCTAATACAAGTTTGGGAGGTGCGTGTACTTTGAATTGCCTATACAGAAGTGTCTATGTTTTTACATGTAAAATTTAAGGGGGAGGTGCTGCTGAACCTACATATTTATCCTACTTATTATGTATCTTAGTATAATTTTTACACTTAATAGCAATTAGCAGTATAAAATAACTAGGGGTTGTCAAATAAATTTTCTAATATTTTTAAAACACAAATTGTGTTTTTAATGTGTCTATTACATTTATAATTTTCAACATTATTTAAAGTATAAAAGCCTAACTTAAACACTAAACTTTTATAATTTGATGTACTTAATTGATAATAGAATATAGATGTTGTTATAATATATTTTATGGGTTTTTTAGATGTTAATATTGCCATAACAGAGAAATCATACATGTACAATGTTTTGTTTTGATATTGTAGGTAATATAATTCATCTAATACTGTAATTGCGAGCGAAGCGAATAACTTTTTTTTCATATGGGGGCCCTTTTTTAAAATTGCCCTATAGGCCAAAAATGGCCTATCCGCCCATGGTAATATCATAGGCTGACTGACCGTTTTCGCTCAGAATCGTTTTTTTATACAATGATATTATATCATTAAATTCAAATTTAACACCATCCATTACAGTGACCCACTTGTCAGTTGTAACCTACTGTACAGCAGAGAGCGACATTCACTTACCCACCTTTTTTACTATTTAAATTCAACTAGATTACGTTAGATTATGTTGTTTTATATCATATTAACTAATGACGAGACAATAAAAATAGAAAATATTACATAAAATTATTATAACTCAACTATAATTAATAACAATAATTAATAACAAACTGAAAATGAAAATGTATTGAATTTAATACTTTATGTATAAAACATTATTATTGAAATAATATTCGGAACAATTTAAGTTACATTTTAAAATTCAAATAAATATATTATAAAGTAACTGTGGAATAATTAATATATTGTATTAGTAGTAAAAAATCGTATTTGTCAGTATATATTATTATAATAGTTTCATAAAATATAACATATTCTGTACCGAGGTCCGAGATATCTTGTATCTATATTTAGTATTTATAATATACCCAATACACTAGTAGTATCCATTTGTATGCTTTTCCATGGTAACTAAAATGTTTCAAGAGGGAATGCCCCCCTCGGAGGACATCAATTTACCGTATCACACATTACGGAGATTACACACTCGTTGTCCACCTATTTGCGCTGCACACAAAAATATTTACCGTAACAAACCAATTTTTTTTTTTTACCAAACCTTATTGTAAAAAAAAATCTATTACCTATTTCATAATGTGTGTTCTTTACTTGAAATAATTATTTCAGTTTTACAATAAGGTATGATACTATGATAGTTCTTCTTCTGATATTAGAATAGCTGCAGACACGGGACTTATTTTACTCTTACTCGTTAAATAATAATCATTTATTCTTTTCATTTTAATTATTCAAATTATTTTAGAAAATTTAACATTAAGAGGACGTCACACCCGTATGTGTTGTCTCCGTCTTACAAATGTACAACATAGCAAAAACTGTTTTGCGTGGGACAACTTTTCTCGCATCATATTTGTTGTCATTTTGTTGTAGAACTACATGTAAATGTTGTTGATGTTTAATCAAAGAAGCTATTCGAAACTCGATGGTGACGGTACACTGCAGTTCATTTATCTTTAATTTTATTTATTGTAAACTAGCTTTCCCGCCCTACGCGTTGTCCAGGCCAAAGATTTGTATTTTTAATAAATATATTTGTACAAAATGTATATACCATATTTCTTCTAATTATAATATTAATATAGTATGTAACGAATTGCAACCATTTAGATTGACAAAATACAATTAATTCGTATGCTAAGAAAACCATGTGTGAGCTACCCTTTACGGCTTTACCTATCTACAACCTATATGAGTTGAAAAATCAAGCTGTATACTATAATACACCCTCCAATTTTCAAGTAATAATCTATTGAAATAACTTTTAATTTATATTGACTTCTTTAAAACCTTCCCAGTAACTCGACCGATTTATTAGTGAAAACCGTATAAGTAGAGTTCTTTTCGAGATATGCTCGTATACATACAACAAAGGGGCAGTGTTTCTCTACTATATTATGCATGTTATAATTGTTATATACATAATATGTATATTATATTATATTATATTATTCTTCTTTTCTTGGTTTCGGCCTTTAAGACCATACCGCTAAATACAAATCTTGCCATCTGTCCCTATCCTCTGCAGCTTCTCTCCATCTGATTCCTGGATCTATCATTTTTAAGTCCTTTTTAACACAGTCTTCCCACCTCAGTCTGGGTCTTCCTAGAGGTCTCTTACCTATTGGTTCATTCTCTATTACCTGTCTAACTAGGGATCCTTGTTTACGCCAGGCATGCCCCCCCCCCCAACTGAGTCTTCTTTTTGCGATCTCCTTAACTATGTCAGGTCTCTGAAACTGTCTTTTGAGTTCATCATTATGTAACTTTCTCCATTCATTTGTTTCACTGTCAAAGACCGGTCCATACATTTTTCTTAAAAATTTTCCTCTCGAAAACCCCTAGTCTCTGTTCTTCAGCTTTCCTCAATGCCCAGGTCTCAGAGCCATACAGGACAATAGGTCGTAATAATGTCATATACATTCTTATTTTTAAATTTTTAGAGAGTGTCCTCGATTTTAGTATTGTTTCTAATCCATAATATCCCTTGTTAGCTAATTGTATTCTTGACGACACCTCTGTCTTAAGTTCATTATCTTGGGTGATAATCGATCCTAGATATTTGAATTGTGATACTTTCTTAAATTTATGTCCTTCTAGCTCAATATGTTGTTCTAGTCTATAATTTCTGTTACTTCGACTGACAACCAAATATTCTGTCTTATCATCATTAATAGTATATTAAATTTTAATTGTTTTTTTTTTATATAAATTCTGTTAAGCTGTAAAGAAATCATGTAGAATAAAAGGTAATGTAATAACTAATAATACTTACGCCCAACAAATGTACGAATAGGCCCTCCTCCATCGCCACAGCCGTTGGTACTTGGCACATCATCTGTTGGTACCCGGTCTATGGCGATCAGGCAAGTTTCGACACTACCGTCACTTTTTCGCCCACTATCACCATTTTTTCACACGCTGTCTCCACTTTTTCGCCCACTGTCGCCACCACCAGCGGCATCGCGATTGGCATAATTGCCTCACCAGTCGCGATTACGGCCGCTTCACAAGTCGCGATTACTACTGCTTCGCAAGCCACGATTTCCACTGCCTCGCCACCCACGATTGCCACCGCCTCGCCAGCCGCGATTACCACTGCCTCGCCAGCCGCGATTACCACCACCTGGCCACCCGCGTTCGACACCACGAACATGTCGTTGTTGAGGTTCAACTTCAGGGGTGGGCGGGCGGGAGTTGGGCGTTGTATGGTGTGCCTGAAGTGATGCCTTGTGTTGCACTCTGTTTTGACGTGACTATAGGCATCTCATTGCCAGGTAACCACTTGAGTGTCAAAGTAAATTCCATCTAAAACACAAAAACAAATTAAATGATTTCTATCAGAAAAGTGTTGCACTATTATTTCTTTTTTCCTTATGAAAATAAAAATCATACAAGAAGTTTGGAAGGTTATATTCTTATGACAAATATAGTATATAGCCTTATACTCTTATAGTGATATTATGCTAAAGACGAGGTTATTTTAATAATAGGTACATGATTAATTCAGGTTTGTACTGAAACTAATCGTCTCAAATTATTCAGATTTATATTAGATTCTAAGCGGAGCGAGGAAGCTAGTGGTTTTACAATGATGTTTATTTTTTTTATCCTGTAAGGCTGTAAACAAAATTTCTTCCAGAAGGAGTGCTTCGATTACGACATATATAGTATCTTATAAGCAAATTGGATCTAGTTGGAACTTTTGGGAGGTCATTTTTCAATTTTCTCAATAATTATTTAACCCCACATGGGAAAAACCACCGAAAATTATGAAATTTTACGGGATTCCGACAATATTTTTTTCTAACGCTTTGTTTATCACCATAGAAACAAATAAAATTAAAAAATTTAATAAAATAAAAAATATTTTTACTTCCAAGTATTGCATTCAAATCGAATACTGTGAAATTACACTATCCTGTCCGATGACCAAAGGGACGATGGACAAACTTCCACCACCGCAATGCTGACCTACTCTTTTTTTTAATTATAATTCTGTATAGTTACTGTACTTCCTATAGTTAATTAGAGTTAAAAAGTAAGTTTGATTTTCAACTATGTACCTAATTAATCTTATATAATAAAACGCTAATAACGCGTATAAGATCCGCGGGGAGCGCTCACGGCACTCCGCGTTTCTTCCATGACGACCAATCACAATACTTCCCGCGCGTTCGCTATAAAATATAAATTCCGCTCGCTTATCTCCCTTTTCCTTATCGACGAATATTTTCGAACATTATTATTATTATTATTATTATTCCGTATTTCTATATTATTATTATATATAATATATATAAAATAATATAATTTGTGATTGTGATATATAACGCACAATTAAGTTTTTGAAATCTTCTAAAATGTTATGTTCGCTTTAATAAATTGTAAAATATGTTATTATTATTTGAATTTTATTTAAATTTAATTTAAATTTTTTCGTAGGTACCTACTATGCAAATTAAGTCGATTTCGGTCGTTGTGGTGGAAGCCGCAATTAATCAGCATTTCAATATAATATATTAAAAATATATAAGTAGTTTGAATAGATAGACATTTTTCATGAGTATTGCAGTACATTTAACTATTGTACCTAAGAGTTTTAGTAGGACCTTGGTATGTCGTTACATACAAAATAATGTAAGTACACATTATAAGACTACAATAAATCCAATACATTTCAATTTCTTAAAATATATACATGTTATACTAATATATTGTTATTATTATTCGGAAACGTCGACGGTGTTGATGGAGTTTCGTTGCACAGGTTACAATAAATTTATTAACAACTCATACTAGACTCATACTACAACTACTCATCATGTAATGTTTAAATTAGGTTTCCAGCGAATGCCGGCCGGAGACGTCAGTGGGTGCTGTTTGTCGAGAACTGTGGTATAAATGCACAACAGATTTTGGCCAACTCAAAAGTGTGCTCGAGGCATTTCGTACTAGGTCGTGATTATGAAGGAGAAACACAACATCGTCGTAGTCTCTTCTCAAGAGCGGTGCCATCTTTAGTGAGTGTATCATGACTATTTTCATTAGGTATTCCAATGACACTGTTACAATACTACACCAAACCATACACAAACACAACTTAGAAAATGTACTGTACTTATTACATTCCCTATCGATGAGCTGATTTTTATATGCTTATATTAAGTCGCATGTCATTGGTATGTGTGTAGTAATAAAACATTATTATAATAAATATCACATAATTCATACCTTATACCTGTACCAACCTTTACATTGGGCTACACATATTAATTTTTTGCAATATTTCAAACAAAACTACATATACATATTATATATATGTTTTAAAATTATAATAAATTGAATTGTGCTTAAAATATTGTAATATTTTTATTATGTCGTTGGTATGCAAAAATGTATTATATGTATTATACATATTATATTATTGTATGTATTAATAATAATAAATACATAAGTATATATAATTTATATTCTACTTTTTTAAACTTTATTATATATATATTTATTTATGATTGTGTTTAATGTTATGTATGTTAAAATTTAAACTTTATTGTGTTTAAAATAAAATGTATGTAGTAAAAAATGTAGTAGGTAACTAATAAGTAATTTTTTTTTTTTTACTTTAGTACCACCACACATGTTGCCTTCAGTATTATTCAATAACCCATATGTGAAACGCAAAATTCACAAATGGTTCAAGTGCTTGAGATTCAAATATTCAAAAAATGATTATTTTCCTTTCTTTTTTCAAAATTTTTTCTTTGCATTATACTACCATATTATTATATGCATATCTATAGATATCCTTTTGAATGTAATTATTATTTAATTTAAAAATTTACCTACCTAAGCAAATGTAATGTACAATAAATATAGGTACATTAGACTGATTAGACTGTTATGAGAATGCACATACTTACATTATTATTTAAAATATGTATATCAATAATATTAACAAAAAAAAAAATATATATATATATAAGTAGTTTGAATGCACAAATTTGATAGACATTTTGCAGTACATTTATTTGAAAGCTAAGAGTTTTAGTAGTAGCTTGGTGTGTCGATTGTTAAGATAATGTCAATTTCTTAAAACATACATATAACGTTATGCTAATATATATATTTTATATAATATATAATATGTATTACCAAGTTTAATTACTGCAATTCACACCTTATATTAGAAAACATGAAAACTACATATACATGTGATATCCTCAAATGGTGTAACTATCCTTAAAATATTGTATTATTTGTCATCATTTTTATGTGGTTGGCATGCAAAAATTTAGTATACATATCATTTAAATAATTTTTATTATTATTATAATTTTAATTGTATTGAGTTTAATGTGTTATATATTAAGAAGATAAATATATAATAACATTAATTGATACCCATGTTTAATTAGTAACTACATTTGAAAAGTTTCATTTATTTCTTACTTATTTTATTGCCCTAATATACACATTTAGGCTACCCTTACCTACAATAAGACATTGGTTAACAATTAATGTTGTCTTTAGTATTATTCATTAACCAATAGTACCAGCAGTAATTTGTTCGAGCCTATGAATTCCATTTTAAAGGAGAATTGTGCAAACTTATATAATTATGATAACTTAGGTTACGTTATGTATACAAAAAAAAAAAACACTTATAAATAATTGTTGTAAGTAAACATTTATTTTGCATTCTGAAAATATATACAAAAACAAATTAGAATTAGAAAATAAAAATAACTATAAAGCCATTATTCTATAAACAATGTATTTAACAACATTTATAACTAACATGTATATTACATAGTATATATTATATAAATACATGTATATTACATAGTATATATTATATAAATATATATAAATATTTTTAATATTATACTCACTTCTATATTCATCGTGGCCAGCCCACAGGCCACCGACGACACACCACTCGGGCCTCGGCCCGAGTGGTGGCGCGGGGCCTGCCCCCGCTCCTCCTCATCACCACGTCCCCGGAATGGGGACCTACTTCGTCCCCGGGGGGGGGACCTTCCTCGCCGCCGGTGGGGGGACCTTCCTCGCCGCCGGTGGGGGGACCTACCTCGCCGCCTGAGTGGGGACCGGTCTCGCCGTCGGGAGGGGGACCGGTCACGCCTCCGGGGGGGGGACCGGTCATGCCTCCGGGAGGGGGACCGGTCTCGCCGCCGGCGGGGGGACGAGTCCCTATCACTGTTTTTCTTCCTGCCTGCATAGTAAATAATATTTTAGATGCATTGCTTACGATCACATATATAATATACAAAAAATACACTTACAATGGCGGGCCAAGTGGCCGCTTTTACGACAATTGTAACATTCTGAAAAAGAATAGCGGACAACATTACTATGTTTATCATTGTATATACGTAATGACAATTGACAATATTTATACATACTTTTGATCCAACCCTTCGGCTTTTGCTTGGTGACGGGGCCTGAAGCCACCGTCACCTGGCAATTTGTGAATTTGAACATTCTACAACGAAAAATTAACATTAGTAAAGTTGTCAAAAAAAAACAAAAAAAAAAAAAAAAAATGAAAAATATAATAACGTGTACTCACTTTGACTGGTCGAATGGACGATGGCAAATGAATATAGAATTGATATTTGATTCCACCGTTTAGTTTTGCCTTGCATTTTACGTATTTACCGGTGTCATTACCAACACCGCGGGTCTGTCAAAATCGTTGACCAGCTTATTGAAAATAAATTAAATTAGATTGGCAACTTTTGGTATTACTGTTGTCACGTGGTGGCGGAGTAGAGGGCGAGAAGCGCAGTGGACCTGGGTCGGCTCTCCGATCCGACATCGGGCGACTTTCTTCGACGAGCGTCTGTGCTGAACGTTCGTTTTTTTGTTATTACGTATACTTATACACAAATTTGTATTTTTTTTTTTTCTTACCTTCTTTTTTTTACTACCTTTTTTTTTTTTTACTACGTTTGGCGTTTTGTAGACTGGTGAGTACTATTTTTTTTATTATTTAAAATCTTAATTGTTCACCCCGTGTACTTATACACCATTACGGTCACCCAATTATTAAGACGTTACGCATGATTTAAAAAGCGACATACATTGTTTCCCGTGCGTGCTCCCTCGAAATCCAAACTTGGTGTCTCGAAG